AGTAGTACAGGTTGAGTATTCCTTGTCCAAAATGCTTGGGACCGTAAGTGTTGCAGATTTCAGATTTTTTTGAATTCTGAAATATCTGCAGTACATCAATTTAGCATTCCTAATCCAAAAATCCAAAATCTGAAATGCTCTACTGAATATTTCCTTTGAGTATATCGGTGCTCAAAAAGGTTCAAATTTTGGAGCATTTCAGATTTTAGATTTTCAGATTAGGGATACTCAACTGTAATAAAGAATACAAAAAGGGAAATAATTTACTAAATTTTTTTTTTTTCTTTTTTTTTTGAGGCAGTCTTCACTCTGTCGCCCAGGCTGGAGTGCAGTGGTGCGATCTCGGCTCACTGCGAGCTCCGCCTCCCGGGTTTGTGCCATTCTCCTGCCTCAGTCTCCCAAGTAGCTGGGTTTACAGGCATGTGCCACCATGCCCAGCTAACTTTGTATTTTTAGTAGAGACGGGGTTTCTCCATGTTGGTCACGCTGGTCTTGAACTCCTGACCTCAGGTGATCCACCCGCCTCAGCCTCCCAAAGTGCTGGGACTACAGGCATGAGCCATCGTGCCTGGTCCACTAAAATTTTAATATAGGAATGCCAAAACTTTGTTACTGTATATTGTAGATTTCTGGTAATGCCTATAATAGAGACTTTTTTCTGATTAAATTACTAACCAAATCACTGGAGACCCTAAAATTCTCATCACTAATCTTGATGGAGCACTTAGGTACTCTTAGGACTTTACTACATTCTCTGCATAACTAATCACGCATATACATTCTATCTTTCCTCTAGGCTTCTAAAGGAAAGCAATCAAGTTATTGATTCATATCTATTATATTGTCTGGAACAGAGCGTAAGCTTAATAAACATCTGATAAATAGACATACTAAATGCTGTAAACTAGATTAAAATTTCTGGGACAACAACTAGTGCTACATATTTTCATATAAAAGACATAATTTCATGTCTTAAATGTTCAATACTCCTGAAAATGTTCTGAACTATACATTCTCAGCCATACATCTACGAATATTATAGCCTTTTTAAACCTTCAACACGTTCAGTATACTATACTACACAAACCTTAAAAACCTTGTCTGTCCAGGCATAAGCTTATAATTTGTCAAGTATAAAATAAATGTGAAAACAAGATGTGCTGTAGTTTCCTAAGAATCATTTATTCAGTATTTATGAATCAGTAACAAATACTTAGGAACACCTACTATGTTTTAGGCACAAATAAATAAATACTCTACTTACTTTCAAAAATCTTATAGTCTAATGTGAAAGATCAACATTAAATATGCAATGATGATTTAAATAATTACAAGTATGTAAAGTATTATAGAAGAACAGCATAGAAGAGCGAACTACAAGAAAGTTTAGTGAAGGAGTTTACCTAGTTTGAACTAGCCTGAAGTTAGTAAAAACATAGTATCTACACAGACATTTTTTTAAAAACTCTATTGGCTGGGCGTGGTGACTAACACCCATAATCCCAGCACTTTGGGAGGCTGTGGCGGGTGGATCACGAGGTCAGGAGTTCGAGACCAGCCTGACTAACATGGTGAAACCCCATCTCTCCTAACAACGCAAAAATTAGCCAGGCTTGGTGGCACACGCCTGTAATCCCAGATACTCAGGAGGCTGAGGCAAGAGAATTGCTTGAGCCTGGGAGGTAGAGGTTTCAGTGAACTGAGAATGCGCCTGTGCACTCCAGCCTGCAAGACAGAGCAAGACTCTGACTCAAAAAACAAACAAACAAACAAAAATCTACTTAGCTCCTTGAAGACAGGATCAGCATTTTGTTGTTCTTTGGATCCCAATCCACAGGACTGACAAAATAAATAATTTATTCAGTCAACAAATATCTACTGACAACCTATGACGTGCCAAGGCTAAGCTCTTAGTAAAGTGCTAGAAATATAACAGTAAGCAAGAGAGGCAAAGGCCCTTTTTGCTCTCTCAACAGATGTTTGCTGAAATGCAATGGTTAAATATAATGGTTTCATGAGAATTCAAATTTATTGGGTTTTAGTTTTGGTTTTGGGAGGCTGTCATGCCAGGTTGCCATAGTTACCTCTTAGGAATACATTACAGTGGTCGAAGCTAGTTAATTTTTTTTTTTTTTTTTTGAGACAGGGTCTTACTCTGTCATCCAGGCTTGACTGCAGTGGTGTAAACATGGCCCACTGAAACCTCTACATCTAATTTTTGTATTCTTATTGTAGAGACAGGGTTTCACCATGTTGCCCAAGTTAAATTTTTTTAAATATCTTAGCAATGTAAAGAAAGAAAATTAACCTCTGTTATTAACTGTTTGTTAAAATATAACTTAAAGAGAACTGAATAAAATAGTGTTAGTCTACATACTTGTGTTTAACACACAACATGAAATTAAATGAGTTAAAAATACTTAAGACAGAAATATTTTTAAGAATTATTTTAAAAACCTAGATGAAATGACTCTCCCTATTCTTTTATATCTGACTTTTAAAGTAACTTGTGAATGGGGCAAGTTTTGCATAGAGTGCTACCCTTAGTCATTCTTAGTTTAAGAATGTGATATGCACTAAGAATGTGACAAGTAATTCGAAAAATTATATATAAACATGATATATATTTATATTTTATATTTTTATAAGAAAACATTTTTATATATTGTTATATTGTATTTTATAAACATATTCACATACATAAACATATAAACATGTTTATAAATATAACTTATATTTATATATAAACATAAAAATGTTTATATTACACATTTATATATATGTATATGTTTATATTATATATAAACATAACATACATTTATATTATGTTTATATAAACATGAGATCCAAGATTCCAGCCAACAAATGAGAAATTATATTGACATAATCTAGATGAAATTAAACCAAGATAATGTAACATCATCCATTTACACTTGAAAATGTTTAAAGGGATGGAATGAAGAACGCCAGGCTAAAATATGTATCTAGATCATGGAAAGTAATAGTACTATACTTTATTATTTAGCTCCCACAGAAAGGCAGTAAAACAAAATTTTTAGAAAAGAGGCACAGACTCTAAAACCAGACTGCCTAAGTTTAAATTCCAGTTCCACCATTATGAGCGATGTAACTTTGAAAAGTTACCTGGCCTTTCTGAGCCTTAATTCTCTCATCTGGAAAATAGGATTAATATTATTATTTACATCAGAGGCTTGTTATAAGGAATGATAATTTGGTATTTGTAAGACTCTTAAAACTGTGCCTGGCAGATATAGAAATAATGGCTGATATTAGTTTTAGAGCATTAGCTTCATCAGGGTAACATATTTCAAGAAAAGCAAACCAGAGTATATTTAAGAAGTAATTTTTAATTTTTCTTAGTTACCAACTCTTTGAAAGCGATAGACCTTTTCTTCAGAAAAAAATCATACAATTACTTTCAAGTGATTTGTCAACCTTCTAAAAGTTCAGCTCTGACACCAAAGGTTTTGGAGCTCACAGGTTAAAAATTCCTAATCTACTGGAAGGCAAACAAGGTGGTAAGAAAAAAATGTGGTCTGGAAACTATAATAAAAAGAACAGCTTAAGGTAGATGAGAATATAGGGCTTTGAAATATTTAGAATATAACAGTTGCTCTCAAATTTAAAGCATGGTCTCAACGAGGAAGTGGTACTCATGTTTTATTGGTGTGTATTACTGAAAGAATAGGTTACAGGGAGGCAGATTGGTATGTAAAATGAAGAATAGAAGGCGAATAGAACTATATCTGCTAGGGACATAGTTTTCAGTATTAACAGGTTAAATTAGGTCAATTCGAATAATCCTACCAACACTATAAGATCTATTCAACAACAGAATGGCTCAAGAACTATTGCTAGGCATTAACGATAGACAAGTGAACAAAACAAACAAAAATCCCTGTCCTCGTGATTCTAAGTTTCATTGGCAGAGATAACGCAGTCACTAACCAGGGAAAATAAATTTTGGAAAGCAGTAAACATTTTTACCAGTCTACTTTCAAAAAGTCGATACTTTCCGTCTGCTACAGTTATATCTTTAAAATTATTAGTCTTCATGGGATTAGAAAGTAGTTGCTTCTTTATTTTAACACCACGTACTGGGTAATTTAGTATATTTTATTTTCCCCACTGAAACAAGCTTATTGCTTTACATCATGATCTGGCATTGCTGAAACTAAAGGGTGGTTTGCAACTAACTTGAGGCAGTTTACTATGATTTGAAGTTCCCCAATCAAATACCAACTTGACTCACTATAATCTCAAGCGCACTCTGAATCAAACACCCTATTCCTGAAGGGAGAATTAACTATGCAAAGAGGAATAACTAAGAAATCAGAAAAGGAATTTACATATTTATTTATAGACATGTTTTCATACCCTGAACTCACCAGAAACAAAAAGAAAGTGAAACAAAACAAAACAGTCTTCCAAAGTGTAAATTCAAATGTGAAAGTGATGGCTAGGGGAAAAAAATGGGTTATCAAACCCAGATAGTACAGCAAATCTGTGCTCTAGGAAAGTAATCTAATTTCTGGAACTGTCTGTTTTGGTGTAGTATCCCAATTACATGAAAGGGATATTTAAAAAAGGCAAATAATATGGAGAAAATGTTTAGTAAATTAGTGTTTTAAAACTTTCTGTTCTGACATGGTGCTTACTTACCAAGTAAGTAAGACTTACCAAGTCTGACATGTAATTTTACCTACTTAATGCTGAACTTGTTTTATTAAGATTTACTTGCTAAGCTTGAAAAATACCTTAGTATCTTAAATTTTGGTACAATTTCCCAGGAAATACTCACTCTATGTCTAGACATGTAGAAATTAAACATATATTTTAAAATGTCTCAGTTAATATTTTGAAGTGTCAAACAGAATTAGCTTTAAAAAATCTAAAGACATGCCATTTAAACTAGACATCTCATAGGTAAAATCTTAGCTGTAATCTAATCAGATTATTAAATAGCATCATATAATGACCTGTGTTTATTTCCTCTGCAATTTTCAAATCTTCTATTTGAATTGTATGATCCAACATCTCCATAAAATGGTCCCTGATTTCTTCAGCCGGCTCATCATCAAATTTGTAATCACACAACATTACAGTGGATCCAGGAAGGGGAACAAAGACTCGATAAGGGAGGATGTGGAACTCTTTTTCAGAATCTAAAAGGAGAAAAAATATTATGAATATTTAGATAGGTTTGTCACTGGTATCAGTGATAACATATTTCAGAAGTACATAAAAAAACTAATAGAAATAAAGCTTAAAAAAGGTCAGTATTTTTTCATTTTCTAGTTGATCTGGCACAAAACTGCTCTTACCAAATTGTGCTTTACCTCAAAACCCCTGGTCTTTGCAAGAAACCTAAATGATACTCCTATGAAAAACAAATTTATCTCCAAGTGCAGTGGTTCATGCCTGTAATCCCAACACTTTGAGAGGCTGCGGTGGGCAGATCACTTGAGGTCAAGAGTTGGAGACCAACATGGCCAACATGGTGAAATCCCATTTCTACTAAAAATACAAAAATTAGTCAGGCATGGTGGCGGGTGCCTGTAATCCCAGCTACTCGGGAGGCTGAGGCAGGAGAATTTCTTGAACCAGGAGGTGGAGGCTGCGGTGAGCCGAGATCGCACCACTGCACTCCAGCCTGGGCAACAGAGCGAGACTCCATCTCAAAATAAAAATAAAAATAGAATAAACTTATCATTGCCTTCAATGTAAAGATGTTGATTACACATTCTTATATGACCCACTGTCCTATGAAGAACACTCAAGAGACAATTTTGTCCCTAATGTCAGAAACATTGTCCCTCTTGTTTGTTTTACCCTCATAGGCGCTGTACATTTTACAGTTGGTTTTTCTCTCCTTCATCCAAGTTTGGAGCCAAATTACCACCCACCTTACACCAAGTGCACAGGATCTGATAGAATACATTTTTGTACTAATCTCACCATGAATTTGGTCTTACTAGATGCAGCCCCCTTCCTATATCAAGCATGTTTAGGACATCTAGTCATACATACATTTTTTGTGTACCAATCTCACCACCAACTCCATTTTGCTTTCTTTAACTTCCCTTTGACTCTTTATTACTAATACTTATTTTCACTTGTTTACTTATGCTTCTTTGTAAAAAGCCTTAAATCATTTTTAGAAAAAAATAAATAGAAGTAAATAATAAATATCTCATTCTTTGAATACTTACAAACTGGAATATATTATTTTCCCTAATTTCTAACATAGTCACTGTTGCATGTAAATGATTACTTTTTAGTTCAACACTACGATTCTTATGAACTATCAGAAAGATAGAAATTTTGTGAAAAGAATGACCTCTTTCAGCCACAGATATGATTAAAAAGTTACTAATGTAAAGATCAAGTGGAAAACTAGGGCTTACTTTAATAGTAACCTAGACTTCGTTATCAAGAAACTAGTGGTAACTTTACATAATTACAAACAGAAGATGAGGAACAATGCCTTAAGTGCCACGGGAAATGCAATGGCTTAAACTATGTGTTCCTTCCAGATTCGGTGTATCATCTTGTTTGCACAGGAGAACTGGGAGAGAAATTTTACTCTTTGACCAGACTGTCTCCTAGCTGTGGAAGAATAGTACTGCAATTTGTACTGTAGCACAAAAATTATCCACACATTGAAATTAGGACTATATTATTTTATTTTGGGCCACAGTTACTTGAAACAGATTAAATAAAAACTTAAAAATGACTATAATGTGCATGTGCAATTGGCATGCAAAATTTTAAAACCATTTCAAACTACATCAATTCTTGGTCTATCTGAAAAATAAGCTAAAAAAATTAAACATTAAATAACTGGTTCCAATAAATTTAAATTACTAATTTAAAAAAGCACTTATAACTTTCAAATTAAGACGTTAAATTAGTAATTGAGTATCTAAATAAGACTCGTTTTCTGTTGGTCTGAGGTTTAAATGGGAGGAGAAATCTTTTTGAAAAGACACATCTCAAAAAGCATTCAAAAGCAGAATCCTTTAGAAATATCCTCATGTCATGGTATTTAGTTCAAAATTATCTGAATAAATTCAAAACAAATAAAAAACTAAATTTAAGCCAATATAAAAATTGAGTTTCTATTGCTCAAATGTCCTAGCTGGTATCACAGTACTATAGAAGCTTTTAATTTATTTATGTATTTATTTTTTATAGAAACTATTTTAGAACAGGTGATAGAAGAGCTGAAGATTAAAGTACAGGAGGACATCTGCATAAAGGGATAGGAAAAGTGCTATTCAGAGAGTGGAATCATGGGCACAGGCAAAGAGGATTACAAATGTTCTGGGAAGACAGTGGAGTTTGGTATAGAGGATACTGACGTAGGGATGGGCAAAAGTAAGAGGTTTCATAACTGATGACCTCCATTTTCACAATGAGTAGGTCATGTATGAGAGTAAGCTGAGCAGGATCAAATGAAGACTTAAAACAGTGAAGAAGGCTTAGGCTATATCTTAAGAGGAATCAAAGAGGAAGATCACAACAAGTATAAGGATTAATTGGAGGGTTTTTTCGTTTTGTTTTGTTTTGTTTTAAACTGACATTGACATACTAAGTTCTTTTATCTGGATAGCCAAAATTAAAAGCCTAGGTTTACTTCAGAGATCAGAAATAGAAAGTTATAATGTCCTTTACAGACTTCCACATGCATGCAAAAATACTCTAATTCAGGTTAATTTTATGGCATACGTTCTACATTTTACTGTATTACAGCATCTATAAGATCTTACCAGTATATAAGAAAATTAAGCTAAGTAAAATGAGGACAAAATCTAAAATCTAACAATTTGGTGTATAAATTCAACATCAGAATTTAATTTATTTATGCTTGAGAGGATGGATAACTCATTCTCCATGATGATTAGTTTATATCACATGCTTGTATCAAAACATCTCATATACCTCATATATATATACACACACACA